CGTGTTATAATTTGAAACAATTATTTAAGGTTCCATGATCATTTATGATGTCACACATTGTATATCGATGATTCAAATATAGTGAGGCACAATTCGTGACGTGATCAAAATATATCGTTCACAATAGGTATATAAAGTTTGATATTTTATATTGATAAGATTGCATTGTTCTTATTGAGATTTGTTTAAATTTGAGAATAAAAACAATCATGTGTTTTGATGCACATAGGATGTCACAAATTTAATCTCGATGGTTCAAATATAGTAAGACACAATTCGTGACGTGATCAAAATATATAGTTCACAATAGGTATATAAAATTTGATGCTCTATATTGATAAGATTACATTGTTCTTATTGAGATTTGTCTAGTTTTGAGAATAAAAACAATCATGTGTTTTGATGCATATTAAACGGGACCACATAAATCACTCATTTGTGGCCGCTCAGAATGAGACTCTACTCGATTATCAAACGAGTCACCTAAATTCCGAGTTAGTAATGTACTTTTGATTGCTAGTTCAAGTTCTTTGAAGTACCAATAAGTGAAGTCTTAATAGGTATATTGATCTAGGTGCTTTGAGAATCGGGTACGAAATAGTTAGAGATTATATACTTGAAATAATGAAATGTGCTAATCATTGCAATGAGACGATCTTTTCTCTGAGGCATTTTCCCTAGGCATTTAAATCTGAGCTCAATAGACCGGCGATGAAATAGTAGACTCAATGTTGTGATTTGTTCACGACGAATTTGTTTTATAAAAATGAAACTTGGAGGGCAGTACATGTTGAAAGGGTAAAACAATAATTTTGCTAGTTTCAACATATTGACGATCAAACTGGGATTGACTTGTGGAATGATAATCGGAGGATATTATTATCGGATCATAATTTACTTCCATAATTATCACTCAACTCCAGAGTGCAATTTCGATTTTTTTGATAGAATAAGTTGATATTCATGGATGTATCTTAATTAACCAAGAGTTTATCCAATCAGAAACATTTATTGGAGCTTGCGTCTTGTGAATTGATTAGATCCCTCTATTGACTCTAATAAAGGTGTGACTTAATCGATACATTACAATAAAATCCAAAAAAAATTGTGCAATTATGAAACCCTAATTGAGTATTATAAATATGTCATTTATGGGCACATTTTGATAGATTTTAGGGTTAGCCACATTCTTTCATGTTTCTCAAAAGGGGGGCACCTAAAAGAGAACAAAGGAGAAGATATGAGGGAAGAAACATTTGGTTAGACCATTAAAAGCTCTTTCAAGGTTCCTACCCTATGTGTGAGGATTTAAAATAAAATCAAATGACATCAAAGTGATTTAAGATCCATTATTCACTTGTATTTAATTTTTAAAGGAAAATTAATTTGATCTTATAACGATTAAATCCAATAACCAACATAATTATCAATTGAATCATGGATTGTCTTGTCCCACAAATTAAAAATAGCTAAAATTAATAGCCAATAAAAAATAACTAGCGAAGCAGATTTTCTAGGTAGTCCTATGGTGCATAGTTTAACCGTTCCATTGTCTCAACGTATTTTTCGCTAAAAGCTAAAAGACAGTAGATGTCAAAATTACCTTGGACAGTTCGTCCCAAAACATTTGTCACAAAATATTCTTGAATGTAACACCACTTTGTACACATAAGCTGCATATACTCGACTAAGCTGCAGCAATGTTTCTAAGTTCCTTGCACCACGCCAATTGTGGCCAGCAGCATTTGCTTGTGAACTTATATAATATGCATTGTTCTTCCTTTCCTAGGAGAGCACAGAGAATCATACCAGAATGTTTTATTTCATGGTTCTTATACCAATGTCTGTTATTCCCTAGTGTGTCTGTATTTCTGATAAACTAATGGTTTTGGACTCAGAGCCTGCAGCTTTCCTTGTATGCATAAATACAGTTTTGTGATAAATTATAGTTGGACCATCTTCACTGCACCGATCCGGGCTTTTAACTCAAACTACCAGGAATAACCCGTTCAAAGCCCGGTCAATGAACATATCCTTCCTCCGTATGGTTAGAACATAGATAAAGGCTTGTTTGATAGGACTATTGAAAAGTCAAAAGCTGCTTTTGAAACTAGAAACATACTTTTGAACATGATTGAATAATTATCTAGAAGTATTTTGTTGTCTAGAAAAGCTTTTAAAGGAAATTGAATTAAGGTAACTTTTTCATTAAACTCTTTTCAAAGAAGCACAAGTAAAAACAGAAGTCCTCTCAAATGGGCCATTAATAAGTACGACAAAAGAAATGAGCGAATCATCAAAGACAGTCATTATCTAACACAATAAAACGACGAATCTGGAGAAATTAAAATGTACAACTGCTTGAAGAAGCGTCATTAACTTGCTATAGTGCCACCGATATCGCAAATTCACAATTTGTTGCTTTCAATCTTGATATCATCATTAGATGCTCTCCCTCCAATTTGTGTTCTGACAAGAGGGGTAAAGCTCAAATAATAAGAACTAGTTTAGTGAAAAAGGTAACAGAAACACCTGATACAAAAGAGAAATTACCGGTTGAACTGCGATGAAAGATCTGCATTGTGGACCAAATATGCTTGTCGCACGCCTTCTAACTGTTCTCCTCCAATGAAGCATGCTTCTAGAGTATTGCCATTTAAGTCAGATGGTCGAGCGTCGAAAGGAATTGAAGATGTTTTCACTCCTATACTGCAGTCTTTACATGTAAAGATAAATAGTAAGGACAAGTATGGGCGCTTCTTGTTTACTTTTCTACATTCTAGATTAACAAAATCAAATCAAATTACAAGCTGAACAGGCCCGAACAGAAACCGGATATCTGATACAAATTTTCGACTGAATAAAGTTATGTTAGCTAAAAAGAATTACCTCCGAAACTAGTCACAGATGTGTCTATGTTTACTTGTTGAAAAGGGAAATCTTCGTCCCTGCACATTCCCTTCAAATAGCAGAAAGGTTATGTTTTTAGTTCAATTATAGAACTGGCGATTCTAGTAAACAGAAAAGGACAGAGTTGTAAATTACTTTAGAAGATCTGGAGAATTGAAAGGGACCAGGACGAGACGGAGTGGATGCCAATTCAAATGAAGTTTTTGAACCCATCATGGTTGAGAAATCAGCAGCTGATGCATGTGTAGCGCTATTATCCGGAAGACTGAATAGGGCATTTGATAAGTAATCTTGGTTCAAAAGATGTTCACTTTCCATGTTCACATTTAAGGACCCATTTCCCGGATGAATACCCATTCTCATCTGGGAAATTTGGTTGGGCAGTGGCATCCCGGGGAGGGACACCGGATAAAGGCTTAATCCGTTTCTCATGGTTAACATCTGAAAAATTAAATCTATGTAAGAGGCATGGTTGTAACAACAATGATATCCTAAATCCATAGACTCCAGACTGAAAGGTTCTATGACACGCTTGGATAATGTACCTAGTAATTTGAATCTAAAAATAATACAAAAAGAACAAACAAATACGTGCTACCAAGAACGCGTAAATAGACCAGGCAACCAAGAGAATAATACCTCGTACATCACAGAGTCCTAGAATGAGGTGAGCAATTGAGTGAACAAAAGCATGTTTAGTGAAAATAGACGGCAATAGAGAAAACTTTTTCCCTCGTCTTATTGTGCACTGCCACTGATATAATAAGCCTATGAAGTTCAAACTCGTGATACAATTGGAAAATATAATTTTTAAAGCTTATGGTTCATATTTTCAGTATAAACTACGAAGTTGCTGAATGAGTAATGGGAACTATTAACTTCAGAGCATGAAAGCAACATCTTCCAGGAAGATTTTGGGAACTTGTCGCCATTAAGGACGTATGTGCTACATTGTACAAAACTAAACTCTACTAGCAGGACAATAAATATGCAATAAGAAATAGTGACAAGAAAATTAATTATTTGAACACCAATTGATCAACCATGAAATAGCCGGCCAATAGATTAGCAATGGAAATATATTGAGTTTTCAAGATTTGAGAGTCATAATTAAGATCATTCAAACCGCTACGAGGCAAGACTTCTATCCTTTTCAATTCTTTTCAACAGAAACAGAATAAAGTTCAAACCTGTACTTGAAGTTGGAGCTGCTTGAGGTACTCAATTGCTTCATCGAGCATTGAAGCCTTGTCCGTCTACCACAATTGCAAGAGATGAACATTTAGAAGTAACAAAGAAACCTCATTAGAATTAACTCAATAAACATCACAACTAAACATTAAAGAAAAAAAACATAAAAATTCAATCTGGTTTCTACCTTGTTTGAATTTGGAATTAGATTTTGCAATGCCTTCATTTTTTCATTAATCCTGCTTCTCCTCCTCTGCCAAATGCATCACAGAATATCAAAACCCAGAATTCATTACAGGAATGTAGACATACAAACTCCAAAAATGAAAATTGTTAATAAAGTGAAACTAAAAATTGTTTAATGATAAAATAAAAAACCTTTTCAGACAAATTATGCACTTCAGCTGCTCGAGTTCTCTTCGATGAACTCCGGGGTGTTGTTGTCTTTGGCAGTGCCTCTTCTATCAAGGCTTCAATAGCCTCCTACCCCACAAAAAAAAAATAAAAAAAATAAAGTGTTCAAAAATATTAATGGATCATACGGAAATTTATGATGACAAATGTAACAGTAACGTTGTACCACACCCCCCACGAGATCTCAGCAAGCCATTATACAAAAAATCCATCAGAAAAATAAGCTTCAACAGAAACTTTTGTACTTATAAGTAGGATCGGAATGAAAAAGAATTAATTAAGTACCTCACTTTCACAATCATACTCATATCCATCAGTGTCATTATCCACTGTTCCAACAGAAGAAGACGACACATTCGCCACTGCATTCACCGGGAAATACCCAGAGGACGAGTAATTCAAGCCCGAAGATGATTCGAGCAAGGGGATCCGATCCGAAACCGGGGCAGTTGCCGGATCATAATCATGGGTTGTAGCAATAGACTGTTGCTGTATAAGAGTTGAAGAAGAAGAAGGAAGGAGAAACTTCTGGAGAAAAAGGGAAATGTCATCGGGCTCTGCAGGTGAAGAAGAATTGTTGGTAGTTGCATATAAATTTGCCATTGATGATTGTTATGAATACATATAATTTGCTTTAACAAGAGATGAAAAAAAGCAAAGTTCAAAAGGAAATGTTTTTGTTTCTGGTTTCATCTCTCTGACGCCGCATAAGTAATAAAGATTCAAGATGAACCCCCGTTTCAACAGGCTGAGATCACTGCTTTGAAGTGGCCTGAATCAAAGATGGAGCGTGCGTTCATGAGCCAACCAAGAATTGTGTGCTGGGGTAAAAATTAATAGCTTATAAGTTGCTTTATGATTGTAAACAGGTAATTTTAGAAAAGTGGTGTTGAAAAGGTTTGACTGGTCTTTTGCGAAGTGGGAACTGAAGAATGTACTGTGAACAGTTTTTTCACAGAGACAGTGATGTTCTTTTTTACTGTTTTAAAACTGCTAAAAATGTCAGGAGGAAGCGTGTGATTTGAATAAAACTACACCAGGTGTTCTAAACAACATATTGTCTAACACGTGAGACTCACTAATTACATTTTCTTAAGCATTTTGACCTCGATTAATTCTTCTACGGTCTTGCTAGGGGTACATTAGGGGCCTCGGCTCCCCTCCAATGAGGAGACGTCATTTGACCATTATATCACCCCTTGTGTAAAGAGTGATGTACAAGAAGCATAATTCTTCTAAATGTCATGAAACTTGCACATAAATATTGATGAAAAATTTATGCTGAGGAGTAAGATGAAACTTTGATGCCTTAGACTCAGGGACGGAGCCAGCCCGTCGAAGTAGGGGGTCCCAGAGTTGAAGGGTTGGGGGGTCTATCGTAGCCCACAAATTTTTTTTGAAACATTATCTGTTAAAATAAGGGAAGTTGGTACTTTGTAATGGAGAAAAGAAACAAAGGAACATAAATTAATATACATTATTAACAAAAAATTAAGAAAAGTATAAAAGAAAGTTCTAATATTTAATTTAGCAAAATAGCTGCCCCCGAATTTTTTTTTTTTAAATATTATCTGTTAAAATAAGAGAAGTTAGTATTTTGTGATGGAGAAAGAAAACAAAGGAACATAAATTAAAGTACAATATTAGCAAAAAAAATTAAGAAATGTATAAAAGAAAGTATTAATCTTTAATTTAACAAAATCATACCTTATTACAAGCGTTCCTTTCGAGTTTAAGTTTTTAAATTGATAGGATTTAAGTTTTTTATTCATTTGAGGATAAAATAGTAAATATAAAAAATAAAATTTTAAAATTAAAAAAATTGTCAAAAAATTGGGGGGTCCGGGTCCCCCCCGGACGTCTGCCCCTGCTTAGACTCACTGGTACAGAATAAGATTAAAGAAAATAAATATTGTAATACCATATAGTTAATATTTATAAAACACGGTAGCAAGTTTCATCTTCGGTCTTTTAAAAAGAAAAAAAAAGGTGGACCACCATTTTTTTTAAAATAGTTTTACAATTACTCTTTCGCGACAAAAAATGGTAAAGATATTGGATAAATTGCAACTGGGCCCCAACGAAAACGAGTGTCTTCAAATTTCTAGGCATCGGCTCAAATTGGAAACGAAAAGGAGGTTTGTAAAGTTGAACGTATGACCACCACATGGTATTTGAATGGATTTTTGTCATCGAGCTGGTTGGAAAACTATAATCCCTGTAATATAATGAAAGCCATTTGAAATTTTTATTGTTCAAAATTTCGACAAAAACAACGTCGTAATCTGATTGGTTGCCTCTACAGGAATATATTATGGAAAGGGTAATTCAATTAGTTTTTATTAAAATCTAATAAAATTTGATTTTTATTTAAATTAAAGAGAACAATTTAAATCGATTATGATGCGTTGCTTTAATTTGTACAAATTTGTTGGTCAACAAAATCAGACCTTTCACCTCCGATCCAAACGTCACCTTAACCAGTCAACATGCGGGGACCACAGTATGAACATGATGAAATTCCACACTCCATGTGGCTACATCACATTGGGTAATAAGATCACGTATCCAACTCCTGCTCCCCCTGTATATCTACCCTACACGAGGGACCACCGTATGATTAAAATGTCCCCGTCATCAGACGTCAGCAAGCCAGCCCAAACACGGCAAGCAAAACAGTAGAGCCTAGGAATTTTGGATAGTGGACGTGTCAACAAAGCAATTTAACGACAATCATTATTTCAAATTTTTTTAATTTTTATACTATTTGTAATTACACTTTTGTAAATAAAATATTTTACAAGTAAATTTAAAATTTTTTTTAATTATTATTTAATCATACATTCTCAAAAAAAATAACTATTCAAAACTCTATTATCTGATTATCAAAACAGGGTGATGGAGATTATTGGGATGCGTGATTTTGGACCACCCTATCATTGCAATGGACGGTGGAGGATCGTTCATAAGTCAATTTTTGATCTGATCACGTACTGGGTTGATGCGAAATTTTGGATTTTCAGTGACGGAGTTGGTGAGTTATGATGTTGGTACTGTTGATTTGGCTTATAAATTTCATTTTTCTTTTTGACTTTGTTTAATAAATGTATGAACAAAGAAATGCCTTCTTACAAAAACATTTAGCAAACGTTTGTGCAAGATATGTCCTTCGATGTACCGATTTTCCTTTGCTGGACGAACAATCATCTAGCCATTTCTTATGTGAGCATCCAGCCCAAAAGGCTATCAAACCAAGTTGGTTTTACCAATTCTTTCGCACATTCCACAAGTACAACTTGAAAATGTCTCATTGCTCTTGATTCCATCCATTGGTCTTAAACATTTTTGTTCGAGTTTGTCTACTTCTAGTTGTGTCTTGTGCATTGATTCACCTTGCTTTCCAGAATCATAATTAGAAACTCGATATATCTGAAACATCGTCTAATGTCTATAAATCACGGGAGTTGCACTCATTGCTACTTATGTGAATAGAATTTTGAGCCTATGTTTGGTAGGCATTTTTTGTGGAGAGAATGCATTTTTTTGATTGATGTGATGGAGAATATGTGGTTGAAAAAGAAGGAAAAATTATTAATATGATGAAAAATATTATTTTATTGAAAAATTTATGATTGAAAATGAGTAGAAGAATGAGAATGAAAATTTTAATGTGGGTCAAAATCTTTAATAGCATTATGTTACAAGGATCTAGGTTCTACAAAAATCATCAAAAATTAAGGGTCACTACCACATTGCATCATTTCTAAATGAAGTTTCACAATCCCAACGGTCATGTTGGACACCATTCCTAGAAGAAAAATACTAGATGTACATCAAAAAGTGTACATCAAGGTCTACATCCCCTCACATGTGAGGGGAGTGTACACCATGATGTACACCCCGATGTACCATTAGCATAACTCTATTAATTGCTGATTATGAAGAAATTACTTTGTTATAATTTAATTTTTTTTAATGCAAAATCCATTTCTTATATTGCACTCTCGATGAAGGCACAGAAGTTCCACTTAGAGCATGTTTGGCTAAACTTAAAATCCAATTAAAATTGAAAATATAACATTTATTGAATCTCACTCGTCTAATAAAAGTCGACAATAATGACTAATTTTTCAATTTTAATCTATACCGAACACGCCCCTTAATGTGAACCCTACATAGTGAGTTGTCCTATCCTAAATTGTGATGCTGATGAAGCTCGAATACAGCAATTAACTCACTGACACACTATTGTCAAATTCTTTTAATTTGCACTCTATTCATTGCACTTTCAGTTAAGCCCTTTGTTTTGATTATCTGTAAGTTAGTGGATTTTTAGTTTATTTACTTAAATTCACCGATTAATGTCAATCAATTCACATGCAATTGAGAATCTAGCTTACACTTAATTGGAGTAAGTCCTCCCCAATTTGATGAAACTCTAGCATGGTTCAATTCTGGTGATATCAAGAGATTTTGCCTACATTTTTCTATACACGATATCAAGAGATTCGTCCACTAGACATTTAATATCTCAAAGAAGATCAGCAGAATATATCAATTTCAAGTGCTAATTTTGAGCGTGAAAATATACATTGCTCGAGAGTGAAGATCAATGATTAGAAAACACCTATGAAATATTCAAGGGAGCATCGCATCTCAACTTAAAGACTACAATATCGGAAATGCTTAGTTGGAGAAATGCAAAATCTGTTTTATCATGGTGCACTTTCAATGAAGGCACATTAGTTGCACGCAGTGTGAACTTATACAGAGTGAGTTAGTGGATATATATAAAAACCTAATTCATGATGCCGATTAAGCTCGAATGCTGCACTTACCTCACCGCCCGGCGCTATTGGCAAATTCATTTAATTTGCATTCGCCTCTGCTCTTATTCATCCTGTTTTCAATTTCCATCCCTTGTTTTGAGTATCTGTAAGTTAATGGGTTTATAGTTTAATGTTGTTAAATTCACTAATTAATGTCATTCAATTCTAATGCAATTGAAAATCTAGCGTGAGTAAATTTTTCCCAATTTGATGAAACCCTCGCATGGTCCAATTCGAATGATTCCCATCTCAATGTTGTCTCAATGAAGTGTCTGACATTGTTTTTTAGCTTGATCATTTTGTGTAGTTGGAGCCTTATATGTAATTATGCAGGTGATCATGGTTATCCTATAAATGAATAGTACTATAATCTAGATTGAAATCAGTTATTAAAAAACGCATTCAAGGGAGCATTGCATCTCAACTAACAGATAGAGTATGCATTGTAGGAAATGCTCAAGTGATTTTTTTTTTTAACTTCTAACATAACTGGATTTTAGAAAATTCAGAGAGACAAAACACTTGCCCTCATACCTATAAAGGGGATCAAAGTTTTAACCATAAAACTGGACACCTGGGTAACAGCGTTTCAGGAGTCCATATCTTAACATTCAACGAAAAACATGATGGTCCAAATTTATCAAAAACAAATCATAGAAGATTCATCTTTCTGGGATAAAAAACCCAAACATCTCTTGAAAAGTAGTAGTTAATATAAAGTATGATAACAAGCGCTTATGGGTCTCCTACAAGCTAAACTCGTGTAAAACACCA